AATTTCACATTGCCTTGCTTTCCCGAAAGCTGTTCTCATCCAGGGTGGACTGCAGTTTCGGCCTCGCATTGGTCTTATCAACACCTCCAGCCAGAGTCGAACCGTGACAGTGCAGAATGGGAGCTTTACACGTTAACCACTCGACCACATTGCTACGAGCGCCCTTGGGTCACAGGGCAGATGTGAATTTCAAGGAAGGCCAGACATTTTGCCATATCATATTCTTTGGTGGGATTGTCGATGAAGCAAACGTATATTTGCTATACCAATCGACTACGTTACTTATTTTTCGTGTTTGAGTATAGTTTCGAGACTGCCAGTAAATCAGTAATATGAGATGTATTCACCCTATTTCGTTTAAGGTGATGAAGGGCTGGTAGTCTCGAAACTCTACTCAAACACGAAAAAAAGTAACAGTCGATTTTATGGCAAATATACGTTTGCTTAATCGACAATCCCACCAAAGAATATGATATGGCAAGATGTCTGGCCTTCCTTGAAATTCACATCTTCCCTGTGACCCAAGGGCACTCGTAGCAATGGGATCGAGTGGTTAACGTGTCAAGCTCCCATTCTGCACTGTCACGGTTTGACTCCGGCTGGGGGTGTTGATAAGACCAATGTGAGGTCGAAACTGCAGTCCACTCTGGATGAGAACAACTTTTGGGAAAGCAAGGCAATGCGAAATTCAATGGAAACATCAGCTCTACTCATATCATTGTGGGTAAATTCTACTACCAGTTCTTCATCACCTTAAACGAAATAGGTTGAATACATCTCATATTACTGATATATTTATATTGCCTACTCTTACAATGATACAAGTTTGTGATATCTACTACATTTTGACAGGCTCTGTGAACGAAATTGTACAATTTTCCCATATATATGTATATGTTTTTTTCCTCTATAGCTTGCAATTATAAGTAATTTTTCAAGTTGATTGCTGTGAAAATAATGGCTTAAATTTGAAAATGTGTGATAAAGCCCAAGATGGTGCTTTAAAATCCTTAGCATCGAGCTAAGATTTGTCACAGACAGATATAGTTGTGCTGATTTGTATTTATACATTGTTCTGATCTTACACTTTCTTAGTAGATCACCTAATATTTTCGCAAGCTGATAGGAAGGAAAAATCAGGAATAATGTAGAATGGTCCATCTGCCAATCCTGCCCCAGATAGCAATCTCCCATCATCTTGTTATTGACAATTAAAATGTAATTATCTACTAATCCTTTGCGAACATCAAATCGTTTCTAAATCTCTATGGCTACAAGCATGTAAACTCGCTAAACACATGGATAATACAGGGCGATCAATAGATTGGTCCATTTCACTGGTTACGAGGACTTCACACCAAAGCTTAAGATTATGGAATCTATAGAAATTAACAAAACATTTAACGTCTTGAATATGAACAACTAGTGTAAAAAATTGACTCGGAACTATATGTGGTTGTTGGATAGGTTTAATTTTAGAGAGAAAGCGGGATGGCAAGAAGAGTCAATGAACAGGAGAAATAGGCTGGATTAGCCTCGAGTCTTGGTAGAACTATCACACTTCTCATTACATGAACATTACACACACACACACACACACAATAGACCACATCATATCCCCAAACAGGAGTCTACATTAGAATAACGTACGT